ATCGTCAACACATGTGGAATTCTGATAAAAATAGCACTAGTTTTTGCCCTAACTTGTGTCTTTCTTCTTCAATTCCTCCCCCAGCCTTTTCTTTCTTTCTTTATCCGACAGATACACGTATATGTGAACTTTAATTTCCCTGTGCAAATTTTGAGATCTTCCAGCAGTGGATAACTTGATGTGATTTACCCACTTGTGCGTAAAGAAACAACGGATCATTTACAAAAGAATAAGAGGATCATGTCATCAATTGTCATGGGACTACGATAATTTTTAGTAATTGTGACGGATGCTTAAACATAGGATGTAGTTACGCGTCCGCCCCTGAGCCTATGTATTGATTGTGTAAATAGAAGGAGATTCTCGGCCTTTTATATGTTTCATCTCAATTTTCTTCATATCGTGACAATCGAATTACCATGTCGATCGAAACCAGTAAAACTACTTGTAAATAGATTTCACCATATCCGAGAACTAAATTACCACATTAGTTGCGAAATTACTAACAAGATAGATCGTTCTTCACGAATTAATAGCAAATGGATATTGATATAAATGTTAAAATAACGATAATCGACAAACTACATAAATTTTCTTTCGACAACGAGCTGCACGTTAATCTAGTCTATGTAATGCGTTTCTTTTCTACCCATAGATAATTGTTTAATATTGTTTTTTTTAGTATTATAATGTTGGATAATCTTTCACTAGCCTTGTGTTCATTTATTTGCTGTCGTTTTCACTTTTCTGGATTTAGGTATCTAACTTGGGTGCTCTTTGCCGGTGTTATCATGGAGGGGGAAAAGAAGGGGAATCTGGGGATTGTAATAATAAAGGTTAGGTCAGGGAGACATGACGTGGAAGATTTTTATGTCATTCTCAGTGGTGTCTTTTAGCCTTATTATATCACAAAGTTATATTTTTATGCATAAAATAATTGCTATTTTTTGCAAAAGTTGTGTGTTAATTAATGGGAAATTAGTAGCTTTCGATTAGGGTTTGTAGCATTGTGATGTGGAAACGTCTTTGCATTTCAGCTCTCCATGTGTCCATTGGTCATTAGATTAACCAATAAAGGATATAATTAGTAGGCCAAATTAAAGTGAATACAATATATACCTTCTTTTTTTTTTAATGTGATGTATCACACTGAAAATCGTAAAGCTTCTAATAGAAAGGAATGCCCCTTGTCCGTTGTTAGGGTTGGTTGGTATTTGCTAGGGTTATCGTAAATTACATAAGGATCAATACCATTATTTTTTTTTTATCCAAGATAAGCCCCCAGGGCATGGCCGGACAACACAATTACAAGAAAGACACCAAAAAAGAACGGTAGTCCGTATGCAACCGGACTCCCGATAAAAGAGCCTGTTTTGCCACGAGGTGGGCAGCTCTGTTGAAGCTCCGAGGAGCAAAAAGACACGAGACTGAAAGGAAGGAGGGAAAGAGAGAGTGCACTTCCTCTAGAATAGCTCCCGCTCTTGAGTGCGAAGCCTTCTTTGAAGTCACATCCTTGATGGCCGGATCAATACCATTATTAGAGATATTAAACTTTGACGAAAATGACACATTTGTTTTATAAAAAAATTCGGAATGATAATTGTCGCGCAAAGTTTCGGCACTGTTAATCTTTTATTAGTGTTTTGAAATTACATTTTGGATTCAAATTTATAGACCCTACAAATTTGGTTCTTTCGTTTTTCACAAGAAACAAATGATTTGCACCAAATTCGTGATGGTTTTGATTAGGGGTGTCTGTTCAGTTACCCGAACCAAAACTCGATATGCACGAAATCACAAACCCATTATCTTTGAAAACCGAAAAGGGTTTTTTTGGTTTTCGGTTGACCGAACTCGAAACTTCCTTATCCCGGCTTCGGGTTAGGTTAAAACAAAACTGAAACCCAAAAAATTGAAACCCCTATAAGGATATGATGACCCAGCTGCTATGCCTTAAAGGTTTTTCAGCCGAACCCAAAAAACCGATAAGCAAAACAGAACCTGAAACCAACAACTTTGAAACAAACCCAACCCGACAATGCATATAACCAGTTCAATTTTGGTTAAAACTGAAAAACCAAACCCGGATGGACACCCCTAGTTTGGATTTGTTTACCAAATCCATCGTCAAAATCCAAGAAGCAAATGACCCTTTTTATTGTTAAATATCGCTCTAGTTTTTACTTAATTGCAGTGTTGTCAAAGCCGGACCGGGCAACGATCCGGATTAGCGAGAGGTTTAAGGTTTATCGGATAACCGGTATTTAACCGGTACAAAACCGATCATAAAACCGGTGACATATATATTTTTCAAATAAAATAAGAATAACTTCATGGTACATATAAAATTTAGTACTAGTGTTTAAAGTGAGAATTATATATCTTATATACATAACAATTGAAGAATTCCTAATTAAAAATATAATTATAGTACTTATAAATGAATAAAACTGTATAAATGTTGAGCAATTGATTAGGATTTAGGAGATGGAGTTTATTCCTTTTTTTCAGTTTTCACCCGTTATGTCTTTAATTGGGAAGTTGAAGGGATGATTTTTTTTTTTTTTTTTTGAAGTTCTTGAATGGAGAAATTGAAAATCAGTAGAAGAGATAATCAATTAATCATTAGTGATAAGAAGAGAGAGAGATCGTGGTTGAGGAAAGAAAGAGGATAGAGAAGATTAAAATGGAAAATGAAAAATGAAAAGTGAAAGGTGTGTGCAGAGAAAACAGACAAGTAGAAAGTTATAAAAAAAGGAAATAAATATTATCTTTTCCTTTTCCATTTAATGTATTGATTTTCAAAAAACGGCAATTTCCAAAACAAAGAAAGACTAATAAAAGGAAGGTCAGTACTATAACTGCCGGTACGGGTCATCCGGATTTACCTGTTAGTCGGTTGAACCGGCCGATACCCGGGCGGCAGTTTTTTTTGCGTTTTTAACAAGCCGAAACCGGAAATCTGGGCGGATCCGAGTTACCGCGGTCGGACCGTCCGGTCCGGCCCGGTTTTGATAACAGTGCTTAATTGTCGTAAATTAAAAATTAAGATTACCTCTTTACTCTTCTTGTTTTTTTTATTGTCAGGAGATAACAAACAAAATTAAACAATGCAAATATTTTGGTTAGAGCGATCATAATAGTAATATTAGAACGACATTTAAGCCGTGCAATTTTGATTGTCCTCTATGATCGTAGTTTCCAAACCGCCATTAAATTTGGTTATATATTTGAGCACAAGCCAAAGGTAACATAGCCTAGTGGTGAAACCACTGGACCAATTGAGCTCTGAATGTGGGAGGTCCTGAATTCGATTCCCAGTGGCGCCACTTGTGCGTTCCCGGCGGACCCTTGGTATCGGAGGCGAAGCCTCCCGATGTTGGTAGCAGAAAGCTCAGGTTAGTATGCAGGTATCCCCAGTGGTTTAGTAGGCCCCGTTGTCGCTCAAGCGGCACGTGGGGCTAAGGTTCCCTGTGTTATAAATAAATAAATAAAAATTATTGAGCACAACCAATTATTGAGGGATCACCATCGGTGTGCTGTCCAAACACGAGACTCACTCACTAGGTTCCAATCCAGCAAATCCCGACAACAGTCCACACAGTCATGTTATTAGTCGGCTGAAGAATATTATACTTTCTTCTGGGTTTCACAAAGTAAATCTATTCTGAACATAAAACAAAATGGCGCAAAACCATGGTTCTGGGCAAGAAGACGCGCATCTCAGTTATTTTTATTAGTGGGCTCAACGTACTTGGGAAGGGGAGAATTCTCTCCTCCTGGCGAGCCAGTGAGTTCGTCGCCGTCTGAGATATTATATTTTCCTTTTGTTCTGTTGCGCATAAAAGATGGAATGAAGCACCAATGGCAAAGCTGCAAACACACAGCGGCTGCAGGCACCACCCCATACGGGATTTGGATGCACAGCCGAATTGGACTTGGAATACCACAAAGAAGAACAGCAGCGACGAAGATCGAGATGACGACGCGTAACGCTCTTCCTTACTTTGAATCGGACCGTATTAACTTTCATTCCGGTTGCAGACAGACTGAAGAGAACAAGCAGACAACGAAGATGATCTCATAACAATTCTTGTATCAGAGGACTGCAGTTTTTCAATTGGGGTGTGCTTAACAAGACTGCTATGGGCTAGTTGTAAGGCATTCAAGAGTCATGTTCAAAAAAATTCGACCCATGAGAGCAAAATTCCAATGGTGGTGTTGGGATAGGATACGACAATGAGAGCAATAACTGCCAACTGGGTTTGGGTCGTCGGGCCTTTCACATCCACCATTGGCCATTTCAAGGAGTACAATTAATATCAAACAGTATAGCACCATCTATTGTCTGCATCCTGCTCCAGCCATAAACAGATATATGGATAAGAAGAGTAAGTTGTAGCACATGATAGTGACAAGTAAGCAAGTGTAAAAACTGGAAACCAGCAAGCTCCACCAATGCTCTTCTACCATGATCCATACCAGTGACTTGCAGTCCTTTTTTACCATGGCCAAACTTCTGGTTCAGCACATGCTCTGCTATGGACAGGCCTGAATCAATAGGGCAGGCAGGCTCGGAGAAAGTGGGCAGTAGAGGCTCTCATGTGGCCATTGCCCAACCTTGTCGTCCAAATTGGTATCAGAACCCACACACGACGTACAGTTTCTTCCACATTAAATCTGCTGTACAAGATCTAGAAACATAAATTCTGACACTGTTCGATCATCTTTCCCCGCCCTGTCCTTGGCACAGCTTTACTGCATGTTTCTGGGAAAGCACATATAACCAGAGCACCAAACACAAGCAAATGCAGTTCAAAGCCAATGACAATCATTCACTATACTCAGCATATTAGACCGCGGTTGTATCCGTCAGTGTTAGACAGTAAATAGTAGGCGAAAAAGTTGCAAACTTTGGACTATCTGTAGATTTTTGTTCACCTGTATTCTAAATTTCTAACCCTGATGAATACGCTAACATTCAACTGTAGTCTGAATTCCTAAATCCTGACGTACCATTGGCTAAAACAAACCTGGATCAAAGGCTCACAGCCTGGGAAATGATGCGCAGGAAGGTAAGGCTGAGGGACATAGCCTTCTCTTCTCAGCTCTGGAACAAGGAGATCCTCCAGCAATGAATATATCTCAGCAGACTCGGGGTGACTTCCATCACCAGCAACAAACATATGAGTGCTTTTGTCGACGTCAACCCAGCTGTAACCGGGTAGTTTCTGAACCCCGCTTTCTTTCATCATTGTTCGTATCTTACGCACGCTTTTCCACTGACTGGCATCAGCATGAACGTTTGCAAGCAGTACGTAGTATCCAGAATTGCTTGGGTCTAACTCAAGCAGATAACTTGAAGCCACTTTAGCAAGTTCAACATTGCCATGGACGCGGGAGGCACCAAGCAATGTGCCCCAAACACCAGCATCAGGTTGGAATGGCATGCTCTTTATGACACCAAATGCTTCATACAACTGACCCGCACGGCCAAACATATCTACTAAGCAAGCATAATGTTGCATTTTAGCCAGGAACTTAAATTCTTCGGTCATGTAACGGAAGTATCGAATTCCATCATCTACTTGGCCAGCATGCCCACAAGCAGATATTACGGCAAGAAATGTGACATGATCAGGATGAATTCCATGTTCAAACATCCCATGGAACAAAGCGAGTGTCTCATCCAGGAAACCGTGGTTAGCATAAGCAGCGATGATGCTATTCCATGAAACCTCGTTTTTATTTTCCATGTTGTCGAACATGCACCGAGCGAGTTTCAAATGACCACATTTGGCATACATGTCTACCAATGCACTTTGGGCAAATACATCACGAGCAACTGTGCCCTTGACTAAAATGGTGTGTATCTGTTTCCCATAATGGAGTGAGGACAAGTCTGTGCAAGCTGATAAAGCAGCAGACATGCTCACTTGGTTATATGTTAGTCCTTCTTCCTTAGGGATGGCAATGGGTAGGGTCGAGTGCGGGTTTACCCTATACCAACTCCTAACCCACCGAGTAGAGCCTTCTAAAATACCCGACCAAATAACTACCGGGTATGAAAATTATATAACCATACCCTACCCACCGGGTAACCACGGGTATTCGGGTAACCATGGGTACGAATCCTAAACTACGAACTTATACACATATATGCACATACATACGGTTGTCCATTAAAAATTCTCAATACTTGTAACTGTTCTACCTTCAACAATCCACACAAATAAAAACAGCAAACACATAATAATTGTTCTTGCTTCTACAATCCACACAAACATAATAATCGTCTACATCTTCATCATCAATAATGGTAGCTAAACTCAATTTCTCAAGCTAACTTATTTTCTCAAGGGAAATTGACCCTTTGGTTAGCGGGGCGGGTATAACCGGGCGGGTACTATCGATTACCATACCCGTACCCTACCCTTTATTTTGAAACCGGGTATTACCCGTACCCGCCCCTTAACCCGTCAAAGCGGGTAATTACCCTCGTTGACCGGTTACGGTCGGGTAGGGTACCCATGGTTACGGGTTGGATTGACATCCCTATTCTTCCTTCCCCATTTGCCGGAACAGTTCTATGGCCTCTTCTGGTTTACAGTTCTGGGTACAGCTAGTGATGATGGAGTTCCAACAAACAACATCCTTTACACGCATTCTTCTGAAAATTTGGTGAGCAAGATCCAGCCTTCCACATTTTGCATACATGTCCATAACAGCACTTTCTAGATGAGCATTACCTTCTAATACTAGCCCATCCTTCAGGATTTTGCCATGCAATTCCTTGCCCAGTTTCAGAGCCACCATACCCCGAGATCATAGCCGTGGACATTACCAAATCGATGTACGCCATCTCCATATTCCTACTCTTACAGTAGATATCAATAAGTGCACTTTTTAAAAATACGTTCAAACTTAAAACATGCCTAATTATATAGCCATGAATTTCCTTTCCAAGTGAGAAACTCATGGAGTCCGTTACTGATGGAAGAAAAATTGCTAACGTCCGCTCTATCTGGTTTAACACCTGCAGATATCATCTCACTAAACAAATTTGAAGCCTCTTCCATAAGCCCATGTTGCACCAGTCCAGCCATCATGCCATTCCACTTAACCAAATCAGTCTGCGACAGTTTATCAAACAGTTTACGTGCATCAGCCGACCGTCTACACTTAGAATACATGGAGACTAGTGTATTTGCAACATGAGGATCATACTGTAACCCAGAAGTAACAGCAAGCCCATGAATAAAAGAGCCAAATCGAATCATTGCATCTGCAGAGCAAACAGAAAGAACGCAAGCAAACGTAACTGCGTTGGGTTTGATTCCCGAATTTCGCATCTCATTAAATGCTTTCAGTGCACTACCCGACTCCCCATATTTTGTGAAACTGCCAAGCATCACGTTCCACAGAACACAATCTTTCTGAGACATTCTATCGAACAGTACACGAGCATCCTGCAGATGCCCATTCTCAGCATATAACTTCACTAACGAGCTACCCATGTACATATCCAGGTCAAAACCCATGTCAAAAACATCATCTTCAATTAATTTACCCAGTGCCACATTGTTCAACCCACCACAGGTTTTCACTACAGAAGGGAAAGTGTAATTATCAGGAGAAACCCCAAAAGTCCACATTTTGAAGTAGAACAGTAAGGCCAAATCAAAGCGACCCAGTTTATTCAATCCCCTGATTATCCAATTCCAAGGCATGGTATAATGTAACGGGACCAGATAGAACATTTTGACAGCATCCCTGAAGCTGTCACAGAGTACGTACATCCCCAATATCTTTGGCCCCAGCACCCCATTATCGAGTAGTCCATGGAATATGCACTGGGCATGAACTTGTTTCCCTTGCCTGAGATTAGAAGTTCCAGAACAGAGTTGTTGGAAGTCAGATTCAAGCCTGCTTACTCTAGTCTCATCTACCCACTGCGATGATATGGCGAGAGAGTGTGTTAAGCATGTGCTTGAGTTACTAGCTTTGAACAACCCGCTGATGCTAGGCGAGAAATGTTGGATGAGCTGTAATCTACGATGATGCATCTTAAGAAGCACGTAAGCATAGTGGCTAATGATGACTCATCTCCTGTTCAGAGTCTCACTTATAGTTGGTTTCTAAGCTGTAACCAGCCCCTCAACCAGTTAAGTCCCTGCTTGCTATCACTGTCAAAACAGGGACGAATTGAGGGCTGAAAACGAACAATGAAGAGAAAATGGAGAAAATAGAAACCAACTCTAAGTTCAAAACTATCAATTAGCTAAACTTGAGATAATTCCACATCTGACTCAGAATTTCATAAGGAAAGTCACAGAGGAATGACTGCAGCAAGTTTATAAAACTGGCCAAGTGATGTTAAATCATAAATTCCACCTGACCATAGTGTACTTGTTTGGCAAATGCTTGTCGCAAAATCATTTCAATAAACCCTGCAATGCCAGCTCCCACAGTATGGTTTACCATGTCAAAGTTCTTAGCACTTGAATGTCAAATTTAGATAGGGGTTAGTTATCAGCCAAAATCCATCTGTTGAAGGGAACATAGCTTTACCAGGAAACTTCTCTATCATGATAGAGTTTCTAATATCTTCACATATCTCAGGTGGATTTTGACTGTTAATTAAGGCTGACAAAATCTGGCATTTCAATGCTAGAAATTTTGACGTGCCTGCTGGAATTGTAGGATCTTGTGAGAGGGATTTAAGGATCTTGTAGGAATTGTAGGATCTTGACCTAAAACGTTCTTTCGACTTCAAATTAAGAATTCAAGGATTTAAGAGAAACAACCTGATGGAATTCAGCTAGTGGATTTTACTCTTTAAAAAACAAAGCAGATAATACCCATTCAGCCATTGCTATCTAAAACCTTGTCACATAGCTCACAATACATAGCTCATAGCAGTCATCAAGACAATCAGAAATTGTTGCAACAACAATGTAATACTGAAAACTCTAGCCAGGCATGCATGAAAGCTCAGAACTTTGTCAAGAATACAGACTAAAAGCGGGAAATAGTATTCACTAAAAGGATGTGGAACACAATAATATGGGAACCGAACTCTGATTTCACCGACCTCCATCAAAACCCAATTCTTTAGAACTGCAATGGGGCCGAGCTGAAATTAAGCTAGTTGCAAACCGAAAAGCAGAGAGAAAAGGCAAGCAGCGTACCAATCCCTTGGTGGCGTCATATATAGCCGGTGGCAATGATCCAGCGGCCACTCCGATAATCGAGCGTAGAAGAGAAGGAGCCCGGGCAGGCGACCGGAAAGCGGGCGAGTATTAGCCGGCGGCTGAGGTAGAGGATGGGACTACAGGAGGCGGTGGTCGGCCGGCGGGTTCAACCGTTCTGTTTAGGTTCGTTACTACTTAAAACAAAAATAAACAGCAGAATTATCTATTTTTATCTAGTAGGGCTGGCTGACGAGGAAGATCTTTATCCTCTGCTTAAACAGAATAAAAACTAATAACAAATTAATGATGACTAATAATTCGTAATCATTCTAGGTCACCAAAACTGTTGTATATAAAATCGTGTGTTGGAGTAAAGATCAAGGGTCATTTCTGCCATTGCACAGGGTCTCCATCCACCAATAAAAGATCACTAAATGGAGCATGAATGAAGACTCATATCCTCATTGTTTTCCTGTCTGATCATCAATGGAAAAAACATACAATTGGTGCACACAGTGAGTTGGAGTTGCGATTTTTTTGTTTGTCCGATATCAGGAGCGATCCAGAGAAAGAATGCCGTAAAGAGATCCTACTCCGACGAGGAAAGAACCAGATCAGATCGCAAATTGGGCAGACTTGAGCAGGCAATGTAGGCTGATTCAATTGACTAACGTGTGATCTTGGAAGGCAAAACAGATGATGAGCAGTAGGCAACCTAGTGCAAATTAGCCCATCCACTTCTTACACCTCCAAAAGGGCAAGAAAATAAACCAGGATAAGAAGCAAATGTACTCCTGTCCATTATATGATCCAAGCATCAATCAAACACTTGCACCTGCAATTGTTTACATACCAGCAGAAACAGAAGAAAATCTCGCACTTGCCCGTATAAGAACATCAACACGAACCACGATCAATTTGATTCTAAATTCTGTTCGAAAAACAACACAATCATTCACTATGCAGTTCCAGTGGTAGAAGAAAACCCGGTTGCGTGTTCACTATCCAAAATCAGATGCTAGTAACACGAAACAGCAAATGACAGATGGGCATTTGCTCATCCTACCAATGAACTCAAGTTAGTCATTCCCAGCACAGGGTTTCTCCAACATCCCACTCAACCATTAACCCTAGAATTTATATCCTAACCTGACATGTATGGCATACCTCCACTATATGTACATCCCCAAATTCTCAGCTGTTAGATGACCTTCTCCTGATTGAAGCACTATGAAACTCCTCCCAGCACTCTTCTCAGCTCGGATTTTTGTTCTGCAGTAAGCCTTGATGGGTAATTCACATCCATCTTGATCCTCAAATTCCCTCTCTTGCCTGCTTCCTTTGAGATTGGCATTCCTTCATTTGGGACAACCACTTCAGCACCAGGTTTGACTATATCTGTGAGCGAGATCATAAGGTTTCTGCCATCCACTGTAGCTAGGTTCAGGGTTCCACCGGTGAGGGCCTCAAGAAGGGAAATATCCTGGTTGATCACCAAATCGTTACCATCTCTTTTATATACTGGGTGTGGCTTCTCATCCACCACAAAAATCACGTCAGCAGGGATGATGCCAGGCTCTTGGTTGCCTTTCTCAGGGAATGTGATCTTTGTACCTTTCTTCCAACCAGGTTTTATCTCGATTGTCAGGATCTCTTCAACAGGACGAACCCTTCTGCAAGAGAATTGGTTCACAATGAAGTCAAACTGGAAAAAATTAAAAGAAGCTAAACAGTGATTTAGCGTAAACTTCATCGGAGAGGAACATAAACCTGGGGATCATAAGAACCAGAATAGAAGTAATGTTTGAAACGGAAAGGAAACGAGCACTTATTTCAGAAATGAAGATATGAAACTACTGCACACCCCATTTGCCAAACAGAAATTAAAGTTCCCACAATAGAGCAGATGGTACTGCAGCTTTTAGTTCCTAGAGGCCAAGCACAAAGGACTAACAAAATCATGTACAGAAGTCAAAACTGTTGACCAATTACATACTCAACAAAATGAAGCAATGGCAGAGAAACCACACAACATCAACCCTGCCTGAATCAAATAGGCATAATCAAATCCCGAGAGAAACCACGTTACATACACCCATAAGAAAGTAGGTCAAGAAATGCTCATAATAGAGTTGCCAGATTCATCTGCCGATCAAAAGGAGGGCGCCTAAGTCCTTATTAGTCTTATTTCTAGACAGGGAAAGATGCATTAAGCAGAGCAACATAGGAAAGCAATTTAGTAAAAAGACTTGATCCAAGTTCCTATAAGAAATATTTGAAACAAAAAAACAGTTAGTATTCAGCTAATCAGAGGGAGGACTGAAATCAAGTTAGCAGAACCTAAGTGTACATCAGATAACTTTCCCAGTTCGGATGAGCTTCCTAGCAGCCCGGATGTATTGAATCTTCTAACTAGTAGTAAGTATACAGTTCCAGATTCAAATCTCAGTCCAAGGGCAATACTCACAACACAAAGCACAATCTTGACATCCCACCAACAATAACACCCGAATTCAGTAACTTTGATTACATATCGTCCAACAAAAGCCTATATGTTCACGACTACTTTACCCTACTCTAAAGTACTCCAAGAATGGTTTGTTAAAGGGTACATCTTAACAGTAAATGCAACCAATAGAGCAATTCACTCCACGATCATTTCTCCAGTTCCCCCATATCCCAATTCCCATCCAGTCTAAGTCAAGAACCCCATTCTGATCTTGATTTATATACAATAGAACAATGCAAGGGCAAAATCCCCCAAGAGCATAGATGCGATCACTCAAGGAAAAGAAGAGAAACGATGAAATAACGTACCCAGAAGCAGCATCGAAGACATTCCTAGAAATCTTCATCTTCTTCTTCACACCTTTGTAAAGCTCCTCCAAGCTACATCCCAACAAATTCTCAATGGGGGCAGCTTTCCTCATCTCCCCTCCATTCCCATGATAATGAGTATTAGTCCTGAAAAACCCTCTCCCTCCTCCAGCCGCCCCTCCACCTCCAGCCCCATTCCCCGCGGAACCACCAGCACCGCCAGCACCGCCGCCGGCCTCCTGACCGAACAACTCCTCGTAAATATCGGCGGCGTCCCTGGGCTTGAACCTGAAGGCAGGATTGGGGTGCTGGCGCTGATAATAGTGGCGATTGGGCGCGGCGGAGGTGGAAGGAGAGGCAGGGGAAGGCTGCGGGAAGAGCCCCGATTTGAGAGCCTCCTCGCCGTATGAATCGTAGATCTGGCGCTTCTGAGGATCGCTGAGGACGTCGTAGGCCTCGGAAATCTGCTTGAACTTGGCCTCCGCCTCGGCTCGCTTGGTGGTGGGGTTCTTGTCCGGGTGCCAAATCATGGCGAGGCGCTTGTAGGCCTTCTTGAGGTCGTCGTCGCTCGCGTTCCGGTTGACCTTGAGTATGTTGTAGTAATCCATGCCCATTCTCCCCCGGCGGGCAACGGTGTCGCCGTCGCCGGCTCGCTAGCGCCTATAGAACGAGAGAGAAGCGGCGGAGGGTACAAGAAAGAGAGAGAGAGAGAGATGGAAGGAAGGGAGTCGAAGGATTGAAGAGGGAGAAGGGTGAGAGATTGGAGAAGAAGAAGAAGAAGTTCTTGTTCTTCCCCTGGCGCTGCGACGGACGTGCGGGGAGGGAAGGAGAAAAGCAAATGGGCCGAAACCAAAGAAGTGTATCAAATCATTTTGTGGGATCCATTTCCCGAGAGCGAGAGACGTGATTGGCAATTTTTTATTTTTATATATATTCTTTATCAGCGTGTAATAACGGAATAGAATTAAGTATTTTTAATTGATTGCAGGCTCTGTACTAGGTGTACTATACTACTACTAGGAGACATGGTAGAGAATGGGCTGGGCTCAAGTCGGATTGGTCCAATTTTGGGCCTATGCCAATCTAGGTTTGAGAAGTCTAAAGTCTAAACCACATCTTTCTAGCACTTCTCCAACAACACTACTACTTTACTTTACATTCTCCCCCTCGAGGAAGGAAGGTCGTATATACGGGTCACATCTTCGTCCTCTAAAATCAGCACCTTCTACAACTCCTCGCGCCATGCTTCGTAGAAGCTCGAATCCTGCTTTTTCGGTATGTTGCAATCTCCAGCGGAGATAATACGTGACAACGATGTTGCATTTCATGTGATTTTGGTTAGCTCCCAGATCTTAGTAAAATCCGCCGACGGTGTTGCCGTCAAATGAAGAGAGCAGGGCGATTTGTTGGTGTCTGGTGGCTGACTCGGAGTGGGATCATCATCATCATCAATCTAAGTCGGTCAAAATTTCCCACGTCAATCAATTTTGTTCTTTGTATTAGTCTGCTCCGTGGAATTCGGGGGACTCAAAAGTCTTGTCTTGCACAACAATAATTAGTACGAAAACTTTGAAATGTCCAGAAACTGAAAGAAGGAAATAGACGAGGTTTGGCTATTTTGCAGTTTTCATCATCGGTAGGAGAAAAAAGAACGAACCTAGCTAGTTGCTTTGTTAGGTGAAAAATGAGAAGAAGAAGAAGATAAATATATTTTTATAGGTTTGGTTTTTGATTAATTGCTAGTTAAGAGATTCTAATTTCAAATCTTCAAATTTAAGACTATTAATAATAATATCACTGGACTAATTCCTTTTGTGCATGACAGATATCCCAGGATTTTGGATGCATAATCCAAACGTTATTCATCAATTCGGAATTATTAGCATATTTTATTACTTTAAATTTTAGTACACTAAATGTTCATTGGTATAGATTTACACAATAAAGGACAATAGATGGAAATTTTTTGTTTAAATTTCGGGTGCATAATCCAAACCTTATTCTTCACTTCAGATAGCGTATGTTATTTATTTAACTTCAATTTTTTTTAATTTTAGTACAGTAAATGTTCATTCAGATATACAAAATGATACTCGTTTTTCCAAATTTGACACGGCATAATTTCTTTCATTTTACTGAATGACGAATGTTGTATGATTTTCTACATGGAACATAAAGTTTGATAATAAAATATTATCATGTTTAAAATATATGAAAATGGATATTATCTTATATAATACAATTATTTAATTTTTCAGTGATAAACAATTTAACTTTAAACAAATGAGATGTACTCCATTAAAAATCACGAAGGTGTCTATTGACATAATTATGCAGATTAAATTATCTTCTTATTTTTGGTGTAGTGAAAATAATAAGATCTCTTGGGAAAATATGGAGGAATCATTTTTTTTTTTTTTATAACCCAGGAATCTTAACCCCACGTGCCACTTTGTGACAGCGGGGTCTACCAAACCTGGGGAGCACATATACAAGACACAATAATATGGAGGAATCATTTAATCGAACATGAAAGGCTTTTATTAGGATTCCTTACTTATAATATTACTAGTCATAAGTCCTAAATGTTTCTTGTTGTACTTTGGAAGTTTGGTCCCTCTTTCTAGAATGGTTGAAAATCCCCGCCGGCTTGCATTGAATTTGCGCCAAACATCTTGGACTTCTTATTTTTCTGGGATGAACAACCACATTTTTTATTTTCTATTACGGCTTTTTTTCACATTCCATCCTTGTAATTTGACTCAAGTGAAAAATAAATCTATAAACTTTTAATTTTCCTGAATCAAGTTTAACAAATGTAGTAATGTACCTCTTTGTTACTATTTTCTGCCACACTTCTACTAGTGGTGGCACGTCTTTCTCGTCCGAGTCTGCCAATTATGTAGGAAACGTCCAAAATACCATTTGGAAGAGGATGACAAAAGAGTTTTTTGCAAAGTCCATCAAACATCAAAATATCCTTAAAATTTATGTACCATCTAAAAAACATTGAACAAAACTAGATCGAACGATTTCGAGCACACCCATTTTAACTGTTTGATAGGCCCAATCTCACTCCACCAAAAGACTAGGGTAGACATTTAAGTTCGGTTTGCTTTTAAGAGCCTTAGAGAATGAAATGTTCAAGAATTCCACAAAGAAATGCACAAAGTGTAAGTTTTTAGACCCTTAAATGGAGGTAATCACATTTTATGAGTATCGAGCCACTTGAGGGACTTATCTAGCCACTAATAGGGATGGAAATGAGGCGAGTTTGAGATAGATTTTGTTAAACTCAGGTTAACATGTCCGAATGTAGCTGCCCAGATAGACTATGTCGCCTGCAAATGGACCCTTTTCTCTTTAAAACCGCACAAAGAAAACAATGTACAGTTCAAAACATTACAAATGGATACTTGGCTTCAGCCATTCTGTGTATGCTTTGGTTGATACACATTTCAGCTCCCCCATCTGGAGCTGGCAGCCATTGACGGCCGAATAAACTGTAAACTGTAAACAGAAAACACATTCCAACACCCAAACTAAGAAAACAAAAGAATACTCTCTCAAACCCCCCAACGACACAACAAATATACAAAGGGCCAGGAAAAAAAGAAGCATCACAATTCACAACAAACCCGCCATTCCGCCGCGAAGCAGCCAGCCAGAAGCTCTTGTCATGATCTCTCTGTAAACTCGAACCCGAAAAACCATCCAACAGCAGCACCATAATGTGCCTTCTCCTGGCTCGTCCATTCTCGTCCAAAGCTGTACTCTTGGTTTATACAATGGCAACGAAAGCTAGAAACGGACAGGAAAACACTCAGCGAGCGATCCACGAGCAACCAAGATAGCTCTCCCTTACACTGGAATCGCATGGCCAGTGAGCGCGTCATGGAGCTGGAGGGACCCGTCTTTCATCAGGTTGATGCTCAAGCTCTTGAACCTCTCCCTCGAGTACTGCCTTGAAGCCTTTCTCCAGTCGGTTCCAGCTTTCATCATCGTCACGAATTCGTCGTAGCTAATGCACCCGTCCTTGTCTGTGTCTACCTCTCGCATGATGTCATTAAGGGCATCCTCTTCTGTTTCACCATTTTCGTCGGCCAATGCCTCTCGTAGCTCATCCAGCTCGATAAATCCACTGCCATCCCTATCGAAGTATACAAACGCCCTGCGGACGTGCTCATCGTTCTCCATCTTCTGCAGGTGGATTGTGACTGCTACAAACTCGCCGTAGTCCAGAACGCCATTTCCATCAACATCAGCCTAAACATGAAACATAAGTTGCAGAGACTTTGTAAATTATGAAAGAGAAATTTAGAATTCAAACCCTGATAATTGATAATAAAGCGTGTGTGTTGTGTTTTACCACTTCCATCAGCATCTTGATCTCTGGCTCGGCCAACTGTGAGCCGACCTTCCGAAGGCCAGCTCTCAGCTCCTCGTATGATACTTTGCCATCACCGTCACAATCCATCAAAGTGAACATGTCTCTTATGACTTCCACCTCTTCGAGTGATAAGTGTTCAGCAATGACCCGGAGTGCTTTCTTCTTGAATCTGTTCATCACAGAGAACTGCTTGAGCCTCGTCCTCACAATATCTCCCAACGGGACATTTGGAGCTTTCTTTGCATTCTGAATCCATGGATGATCTATACCAACCAAATCAAATGATCAAAAGTTGAACCAGCAGTTAGAAGAAGTCAACTTTTTTCACAATCAGAGGAAGCATTCTTGTTTATCACTTTACTAACATCAGAGGTAGATAGTTTTCCTTTTCTATCAGTTACGCATGATAAGCATATACCACAGCTAATGAGCCTCTTTTGCTATTATGTTCCCTAATTCCCCATCACTTTCAGTAGTCTATAGAAGTACAATCACCAAAATAGAAACTATTTAGCTTTAACAGAAGTCGCAAGCATCGTCCTCTCTGGCGGCTAATCACAAAAGTCCCTCAAGAATTCAAATCCAAACAAGGGCTGCCCATCACTATACAGAAATGCTCATATTTAAGTTTCTTCAAACCTCTTAAAGACTAATGAAAACTTCCTGCTACTTAACACGCGAAATGAATCCTTGATGCTGCAAGAACCTGAAACGGACAATGTCATGGCCAGATTGAGAGGGGGCATACCTAACACTTGCTGAGCAGTTAAGCGCTTGGAGGGATCTGGATCCAACATCTGCCTCACCAGACTCTTGGCACTTTCTGAAATCTGGGGCCATGGTTCCCTCTTGAAATCAAGATTCCCCCTCAATATTGCAAGGGCAACACCCTGCTCACTCTCTGCCAACCCAAAAAAGCACAACAAATTCTTAAAATCCCCCATCAATCATTCCACAGCACTTTTTAGCAATTGGGTTGTCCCCTTTCCAGCTATTATTCTGCTGGTACTTGTGAAAGAACACTTTTTTTCAATGCTGTGAAATAAAAAAGGGTACCTGCCCAAAATGGAGGAACCCCACATAACAGAATGTAAAGTATCACTCCAGCACTCCACACATCAACCTCTGGCCCATAGTTTCTCTTCAACACCTCTGGCGCCATGTAGTATGGACTCCCAACAATCTCAGTGAATATCTCCCCTACAATAACAACAACAACAAGATATACCCTTTAAAGATCAGATCCTAAAACCCACACCAGAAAAATAATGGAAATTGAAACGGTCAGAAAGCAGGACAAGAGTAGAGATAACAACCCGAAATCCCAAGAATTCAACTCCTAAATCGAATCAACCAAGCAAATTGAAAAAAACCCCAGAAATTGAAAATCCCCCACCCACCCACCAGGCTTGAAGAACACAGACAACCCAAAATCGATGGCCTTCAGAGGCGAATTCTCCTTCTTATTCGCAAACAAGAAATTCTCGGGCTTCAAATCCCTGTGCATGACCCCATTCGCATGGCACATCCTCACAACCTCGGCGATCGTTCTCGCCACGCTGGCCGCAGCTCGCTCGCTGTAATGCCCTCTGGCCACAATCCGGTCAAACAGCTCCCCACCTTCACACAGCTCCATCACCAAATGAACGTTCTCGTAGTCCTCGTAAGTCGCCCTCAACTTGACGATGTTCGGGTGGTCGGGCAAGCTCGCCATGATGGCCACTTCCCTCCTCACATCCTCTATGTCCACCGCCGTCCGCAGCTTCCGCTTCGAAATCGACTTGCAGGCGAGCGCCTCCTTCGTCTCCCTGTCGGTACACAGATACGTGATCCCGAACTCGCCCCGGCCCAGCTCCCGGCCCAGGATGTACTTGTCTCCGATCCGGGGGCGGTGGCTCACGGGGACGACGTCCTTCAGGACCCGGATCGGGGCCGGGGAGCGAATCGGGTCCTCGGAGAACGGGTTGGGCTTCTTCTCCCTGCTGTTGGGCTTCTTCCTGGCGCCGCCGTGGGCTTTGGACTCCCGCGGCGGAGAATCCGGGCGCACGCAGGCGTTGCAGTTGCCCATTTCAATTAGCTGCTGCTGCTCTGCCCTTTTTTACTCTGGCTGCCAGAGCAACAGGGGGAAAGGGGAAAGAAGAAGAAAATGAGTTGAATTGCTGCTACTGGTTGTGGAATTGAACCGAAATTGGAGGGGAGGCGGAGGTGGAGGTGGTTGGCGGCGGCGGAGGCCGGCGGAATATTTGGTTGAGAGAAGGAGAGGAGAGAGAGAGAGAGGGGGGAGAAATGGGGAAAGCGAGGGAGAGAAAACGCGGGGGGTTCAGTTGAGGAAAGGAGGAGAGAGGGCTTTTTGAAAATAATAATAATATTTTTGGTGCCGGTGGTTCAATTCTATTGAGTTTGCTTTCGTTGAATTTTGATTTCACACTGTATATTTATTTGCTGTTCTTTTGTAGTTTTTTATTATTATAAAATAATAAATGGATTTTATTTTAATAAGAAGAATGAGAAAAACAGTTGATTTCTTCAAATTGAGTGGATAATACCACGAGCTAATCGAGCTCTTGTTTGGAGACCAATTTTCAAACTAGAACAGTCGTTCAATCATTAAATGAGATAGAAGACCTTTGATAATGGTTCTCCTAAGGACAAAGTTAAAAAAATAATAATTTTTAAGTAAATAAGGATATATTGATGAGGCTCGGATTGTAAATTAAATCATATACCTATTTACATGCACAATGTTAAATTTCTTCGATGAATAAGGTTTCTTATTCATAAAAAATAAGAACACTTGTTCCATTCCATAAGGCATCTTTCATTTGGGCTTTCTGATACACAATAATAGGCGCGTAAAGTATGTCATTTGTTACCAACTTCTTAGTCGTGAGATCATTTTGTAGTGACGAGAAGCTGGTGATAGATGTGGGCGATTGTTTAGGGTTGGGACTCGTATTCGAGATTCGGACCATTGGTTCGGTTCATTTAACTGGTTGATACACAATCCAACACAATGTGCAGAATACATGTACTCTAACAGACCGTTTGGTTCATTCTAAAATGAATTACTGTGTAGAATTCCTGTGTTTGGTAGTCATATTCAATCTTTAGAAATAAATGAATTGATTTCTCAAACCATGTTTGGTATATGTTTTGAATTGAATTAAATTAAAAGTTTCTCCAACTATACCCTTATTAATTTTCGGAAAAAACAATATTCATTGAAAATTCATCTTCTAAAATACGTCTTTGGTCCCATACGTAGAATATCAAAACTGTTCTTGTGTGTTTATATTCTATTAATTAGTTCTTTTCCAATATTTCGTGGAAGAACCCTACAATCTAGTTGTGCCTTCTCAAAGTACTGATACAATCGAAGCAAAAATAAAAAAATAACTAGCATATGCTACTAACGTTGCAATCAAATTCTTGGTGACGTTTCTCATACTGCATCAATTGGCGCCAATTAATATATGTAGAAGTAATTTTGTTAATACATGAGGATAATTATGTCATTCTATTATAATTAGTATATACTTGTTGAATTCATTTGCAAATTTCATCTCAATTCCTAGGAATTGCTATAATTAGTTCCAATTCCGTAGAATTCAAAATTCAAAATTTAAAATGAATTTTTTTAAATACCAAACACAAATGAATTTTATTTCAAAATGAATTTATCAAAATTCGTGAAATTCATTTATACCAAACGGTATTAGGTCTATAAAAAAATGGGTTGGTTCCGAGTCTAGAGTGTGGTTGTGAAATTAGTAAATTACCACCAGGCGTCGACATTGTTAATTGTAGAATAGAATATTCATTGGCTTGGCGCAGAGAGTCAAATTTGCAAAGCGGCGTGAGCCTGTCTGCCTGCCTAAGGCTGCCGCGTGCCATGCCGGGGCTCCTTTAACCGGTCACCAACTTCGACGACTTTACTTGCTCCGCAACCACAACTATCCACCGCCGATTGAGATGCGCTGTTCCATCTCCATTTCTCGATCCCATTTATTTCTCGCCAGCCCGCCTTCATTCGGATTCATTACCCATCAGAAAGGTTCTTAAAAACTACTCTAAGTTACTTAGTGGTCGAGAACAAGTTGAATATAATAATTCAAATTGTTAGAAGATGTTCAATATACCATATACTAACTTGTTCTCTCAAATTCAAGTTACTCATATGGACTTGAAGCTTGCACATTCCCAAAATGGGGTCGTCGGGATTTGAATAGAAGATCTATCTCAATAAGATAAGACCCTTACACCATTTCAACAACAAGCTATTCCCAGTAACACGAGTTATTGGGACCAGTTGGTTTATGATATGGTATCAGAGTCGGTTCGTCCTTGATGATTTCAAGTATTCAAGTCCTCACAAACCCCTCAATATTAATTCTTGACTTAAAGCACATGTGTATTACAGACCTGTGCAAACTTAAAGTCCGTGACTTTCATTTGAAGGGACGTGAGAAGAAGTGATTAGTATGCGTACATGGAAATCTCTCAACAATTCAAGTTTTTTTAGATCAGTATTTGTGTTACGACATATGTTATGCCACGGAGTACACAAACACGAAATAAGACAATTTAATGTTTGTTTATAAGGTTGACATATGTTGATTTTTATAATTAGGTGCTACATAAAAAATTCGAATATGAGACCTTTATATTCAAGACTATTGGTATTCTCAGTGGATTAAAATTCTTTGATCCAAAGATAATTTAATGATGGATGGAGTATTTATATTTTACTCATAATCATCGTATACAAGAGGCCACATTAGCATACAAGAAGAGAATGATGTATGTTTATTTTAATTGACCAAATTAATCACCAAACATCATATACTTTGGATATTAGTTCATACTTTGGTCCAATCTCAAATGAATTAAAACAAAGGGGAGAAAGGAAATTCCGCCGTGCACTTCAATTTCCCCAATCGGATTTGGACGGTCCACTAAGACGAAGTCGCTCCCCTTGACTCCAAAACGGAGGTCCACGCCAGTCGTTTACTCGTGTTTTTCCTCCAGTCAAATCTCTGCTAACCATAACAACGCGGTTGGGTAAAACTATGGGTACAAATCGTTGGCTAATACGTTCATTAAGAAGTTGTTTTTACTATAGATGTGAGAGGTTTGTACAACGTCTAAGTTTCGATGGAGGAGATTTCAAAACTGCAATATAGGGCTGGCATTTTGATGAGTAAGCTCGTTATTAGTCGAACCATGAGAAATCACTGATGTAGGGGACTAGGGGTTGAGCTCAGGTGCTATCTTCTAATGCTCAGGTTGTCACCCAAATTAGTGGCGATTTGAGTTGAACTATGACCATATTGACAAATAAAATTGCAAGATGATGATATTTAGATATATAAAATGAACATGACATGACGTATTTTCATATTTGAAAAATTTTCTAAAACACATTTTGTCGTTCCAAGATTGAGAGAGAAGAAGAAATTTCGATGAGTTAGAGATTTGAAAAGTGGAGAATAAACAATTAGAGGGGTAAAGTTTTATTTTAATTTATGTGAAAGATGATAGTCTAACGTATAGATTAGAATGGGTAGCGAATATTTTAAAGTACATACAAATAATTTAGTAACGTGATATCAAATATAAAGATTGTTTGTTGTCTCTAGAGGAGACACAACCCTAATTCACGCATTATTGAGTTCACTCACACCATTTAGTGATTGTTCAAGCAAGTCGGTGATTATTCACGGAAGGGTTGTGGACTTGTGGTTATTCATTGCCTATAGTGTCTCTGCAACTCGATTTTGTTTATCGATCTAGCGATCCTCCTGGCTGGCTAGCCAGCTAGCGTTATAACAAAAACTCAGCTGACATATATCTAATTCAACAACTCAATAACATATTGATTTGGCTCATAAGAAAACAGGAGGAAATTAATATACAATTATTAATTATACATCGTAGCTAAAGTCTAGTCCACGAGATATCATCTATGGTGTAGAAATCTAAAAAATTCCAAGTCTTGTTTATACGCTAAAAACTTGAATTAAATAAGAAATTAATTGAAATTAATACAATCAAAACATCTTGCCATTGCTTTCATTAATTTGAGATAAATTATTCACCAACTCCATCATCATCAACAAACTCTTTAACATATGGCCAAAAAAAAAAAACAAACTCTTTAACATTTTTTAGAGAAATTTATAGCTGCCCCATTGACTTTGTCTAACCTACTCATTACAACGACTTGGTCATTTTCCTTCAATATATGCTTCTAAGCCTACGAAACAAAACTTGCAAAATGGTCATTACAAATTGGTCTCTTTAATTATGAAAACATATTTCTAATAATATGTATACTTACTAGTCTTACAACAATAGAGTTGTTTGAGAAATTTTGATAACACAAGAATATGGGTGTTAAGAGGAATTATTTGCGCTTATGTTCAAGAACTCATGTGTACCCATGAAATTGCAAATGCCCGTTGGATTGAGTTGAGTTTGGTCTTCCAAATCTCATCGGCTATTATACTGAATTCTTTTGGCATATGCGCCCAGCTAACTTCAATTCGAGTTTAGAGAAAAATAAAGATCCAACCCGACGCGCCACCATACAAGCTTAATAATGAATCCCCAGTTCGTCACCAACGTATAATTTCCATGGAATTGTTGTCAAAGATTACTATTGCCTCTCCAAGTTCGTGTAAGTAAAATCGACAATAGATTCCTATCCTCCAAACAAAGAAAGCCATATTTTTTTTCCATCTTTTCACGTTAAGCAAAAGTGGGGTGGAAACAAGCCTATCCAAATCATGTTAAAGCCTTTTGGAGGGCCATTGCCATTCTATTGCCTTTGTGAAAGCTAAAGAAAGGAGCAATGATGGCAGCGGTCACCAACCATGTTGGATGCATGGAAAGGGCAGAAGACTTTTTCTACTAATGGATTTTTGTCACCCACTAATTTAAGGGCATGACTGCCCTACCTGTGTAGGGCTTAACTTAACTTCCCGAAAAAGGTTTGGAGTTTGGACTTTATTAGAAAGGAAAAAAAAGGAAACCGTCGTTGTTGGCTGCTAATGGCGTCCATAATTATGTTCCTAAATGTGTTCAATCCACAGCTCAGCTGCTAGCGTCTCCTCCACGGTCCACTTGCAACGTTTCAAAGACGGGGAAATAAACAAATGAACCACCGGGCCTCCGTGGGACTTGGACGGAGGACTTTTCCCCACTAGCATAAACTATCTTTAATTCCTCAAAAAGGATTCCAGCTTCGCATCGAGACGTGGATGTAGAGTGGAGGCCAACATTTCATGAGCATGTCACAATCAATTATGACGAATCGTTAACTTTTACCAACTCGCCATGCAACAGTCGTAGCAGGGTCGAAGGTTGATACGATCGTTTATTGAGTGCTTACACCATTAACTCGAGAGTCGCTCCACGTCTTAACGCATAAATCAGAGGAGACATCGCGCGAGTCTCCAACTAAACTAGCAGCACGACTGCTGTGAAGATATTGAGTTTTGTATGACTATGTAAAATAACTACATCCCATAAATATATTCGGACAGCTGAAATTTAAATCTCATTTGAACATAACAACAGAACAAATGGTCATTCCTTAAGATCTTTCTACAGAGAGTATGAATCTAGAGACTAACCTTTATAAGTCGAGGTGGCGAGATCAAACGGGGGAGACGGCTAGGCCTTCTTCAAAAGCAGGACGACTCCAGCTTCGCATTACATGAAATGATCTTCGACTAGCTTAATCAGCTCCTCCAGCTTCTTAATTATCTTAGGGTTCATCAGATCCCTAGCTTCCCTAATGAGAGTACCTTCCCGGCTGTGATGGTAAGCATCCACCACTGCCTTCATCCACGTATGGAGCTTTTCCGGTGTCCTGCATTGACAGCAACTGAGGATTAACTCTGCTTACAACACAGAAGGGAACATCCCCTGAAATTGTGGACTATGGATGTTTCTGAAATTTAGGAATTATGGATGCTGACATGGATGCTAGTTGAATGAAGCAACTGAAATTCGGTATCAAAATACGTACGTGTACAGGCAATCTACATTGCCTCCTTCAAGTTCTTCCCCGGGAGTGAATGCATCGTTTAAGTTGGATAATCGTTCCTCTGGATCCTCGATTGTGAGAAGATGCTTCACTATTCTTATTTCCTTTGGCATGAGCCTCTGAAGATTACCCACTGCTGTCTTGTACAGATGATACAGTATGTCTTTTACCTGTCATATAAAAACAAAAAGTAACAAATCACTGATGCACAGGGGGTAAAAGACCTTTCAAGGTGATATTGGTAACCGGGTTCCAAACCTAAAGTAGATTTGGAACTTTCATCCACCCGTTGCCTCTAGTGCTAGGTCAACTTCTTAGGTCTACAATTAAGAACTTTGAACAAATTGATGCAGATATGCCTTTGGTAGTTTCAGTTATTTAGCACCTTAGATGTCAGCTATGACTGGAGCACTTCAAATAGATAACTACATTATTCATCAACGGTTAAGCAAAGAATGAAGCAACCCAGCAGTCAAACATAAATCATTTATCTCAGCAATATACTTTTTCAAGGATAGTCTTCACGCATAGCAATTTTTATAGCATTAATCTGCCATTTTCAGCTAAGAAGGACGTGACAAAATATAAGGATGTAACAGAACTATATGTCTCTGATTCACTTTACTTCCTCTAGGTCGAACCCATTCCAACATCCAGGATTTCCAATTTTTGTCAATTCCAAATTGTAATTTCTTTATGCTTTGTTCTGGTATATTATTAAATCATGGAAATCAAGAATTATAAAATGACAATGTTAGTACTAGAAACTTCCAGTTAGAGCTTCATAGACATACACCAGAAAGGCAATTTCACTGAAGGGAAGGGCAGTCATGAACTGTCACTTGTACCTCATCTTTAGTCATATTGGTCTCCTTAGCATCTGACCAGGCTTTAGTGAGCATCAATACCAATGCTGAATCCAGTTGATTTTTTTGTGCCAAATCATCTATTTTCCGGCATGCAGCATCTAGAGAAGGTGAATTGATAATGTCTTGCAACTTCAGCTCTGCTGCATTTACTGCTTTGGTATCCTCTGTTGCATTATCATAGGCTTGTACAACAGCTACACAGTCATTTCCCAGTTTCGCCAAGGCTGGTCAGATTCCAAAAGACAAAAAAGAACATCAGTGTCAATATAGAAATAATCAATTGGTAAGCGAACACAATCACACTTCAGAGTCATAAATGGTCAAGAAGCAAGATAAAGTTCAAGATATGTCAATTGGAATAGAACTCATGCTCAGTCAATAGCAAAATAAGTATATGATACACAAATAGTACATGAAATGCTATGTTTAATCTCTACGAAACAGTTCTGAGCTTGAACCATGGAATATGTAACCTATTAAACATGACTCGTCATCCTTGAACCAACAATTTGATTGAAGTGGTGAAAGTATTCACTTGAATTGACTTCGAAGCATTTTTGTGCAGGTAAAGCTCAAAACATCCAAGAACTATCATCACAATAGTTTCAATCAGCCTAGGCTCGAGTATACCTATATGAATCTCCATATTATGAAGAAAATAACTAATTCTCAACCGTCAACAAGAAACAATGTATTACAGTGGAATAGATTCAGTTACAGAACTTTATGACCAGCCTGTATTTGCTCAGTTATAACACACCAAGACAACAAAACTCCAAAAGCAGATGAACAATCAACTAAAATGTGAGGAATCATAATTTCCTTTTTTCTTGAAATAAAATATAGTCTGCTGACAAGCAGCAGAATAAAGCATAATAAGAGAATTCAGACCCACCATTCTGTTCAGCTTTGTCGTCCTTATATGACTGTGCCACAGTATACAGATGCACAAAAAATTCTTGAGTGAAATCCTTCCGCCGCCTAGAAACAATCTCACCAAGCTCAGCAGGTGCCTTCCTGATGGCTTCCAGAAGCTCATTATGCCGCTGCACATCTTCATCAACCTGTCATAAGTCCATCCAAACCCCAAAATGATAAGCTGAGCAAATAAAGGATCTTCCATTCACTAACCAAGTAACCATACATTTTCTAGTGAACGAAGTAAAAGCATAGTGTTCCCTTGAAAATAAATCCAAACACAGCAAACAGAATAGGGAAAGATATGCTTCAAGAAACCAATACACAACAGACCTCAAGAAGTATACGAATCAAGGAAACTAAACCTATTCAACCAATTGACAAGCCAAAAACGTATTCACTTAAGCAGCACCATCTATCTTTACAAGATTGGTATCCCCACCTCTTTAAGCTTCCTTGAAAGCCTGAGTAAACTATGCTTCATCCCAGGGTCAGTCTCATTGTCAGCTCGTTCCTGGCAACGCCTGTAGAAATGAGGACGGAGACCGTCCCATTCCCTACTAAACGCGAGCAACCTTCTCCAATCAGTTGGAGTGGTCTTGTCCACCATGAAGACTTCGATTAGCTTGTCACAAACTCGAATCCGACCTTCATCGTACTCCAACACATCTATAACCTCCTGTTCCTGGCTCGCTTGTTCAGGCTCAACGACAGAAGCAGGTTGCGAAGAATTGGACGATGGTGACTTCTCATCGCTAGGCACCGTTGTTGCACTTCGGGCAACAGCAACAATAGAGAATTTCCGCGGCCTAATTGCATTTACTGCCAAGTAAGCTGAAACATCCAAGCAAATTCTAACTCAGAACTACTGAATAGAAAACGGAGCCAGGGAGGTCGACCGAAAGAATGACAGACAGACCTTTGAAGTGAGGGGAAACGCTGAGATAGCGAGGGGAACGGCCCAAGGGGATGAAGGAAGAAGGAGAAGAGTGACCTCGAGAGGCAATCGCAGAAGATGCTGAGCAACAACTCGAGATAGTCGCAAAAGAGGCTAAGTCCGCCATGGTGAGTAGCCTTCTAATTTAACACCTGGCAAATCTTGAAGCTGGGTGAGAAGAGTGTCGCGTACTTCACCAGACTTCAAACTATTCTCTGTGGCATTTCGTCGAGCACCTGTCCGTCGTATGGGATAACGATTTTGCACAGATACTTAACGGCGAAACAGCTTCGGTTGAGATTTTCTGGCGAACCAGTTTCGTGTCTGCTAGCAGTTCTTCGGCTGCCGAAGGTTCTTCCCGCGTCTGCTGCCTGGAGGGCTTTCTAGACTACGGACCTTGAGATTATTGTGGGGAAAAGAAATCCAGTGGATTAACAAGAACTCTTTGAAAAACTCACCCGACCCGACTCGCTCCTTTAACCCGACTCAGAGTATACCAAAAAGCGGTGTTATTAAGACCGAGCCGAGCCGGTCGGTCTGACTGGTAAAACCGCTACCCGGTTGTCAAACCAGCTCGGCACAGTCAAAAAACCGCTACGGTTTTATATAACGGCTAGCAAGCGGCCAAGGCGGTTAACTAATCGAGCCACTTACCCGATTTTTGCGCATCGGCTGGTAATTTTAATTAAAAAAAATCAGGAAATTGGAAAAAATCAAGGAGAGAGACGAGCTCTGAAAGCAGAATCCGTCGAAGCTCTCGTCGATCGTCGATTTAGCCAGCACAAGCCCCGGCGAATCCAGCGACGACGTTCATCCTCCCCGCTCTTTACTCATTGATCAACTTCTCCAGCTTTGCTGCCTCTCTTCCGTCTCCGCTCCCCTGCTCTGGCCGGCGTCGAGAAGAAAGAAACGTGATGGAGACTAGAGGGAGATGTCAGATGGATGGAGGGATAGAGAGGTGGGGATGGCCGGAAGGCTTCCTTGCGGCGGTGGAATTTGAGGGAGGTGAGGTCGAGGGGCCAAGGGGAAGCATTTTTTAGGTTATAGCGGGCTGATTGAAAATTGGCTTTTAGGGTTTATAATTGTGTATATATATTAAGTCAAATTACTAAATGATACATCTAAAATAAATAAATTTCAGTAATTAAATTGTTTAGTATATTTATTATGTTTTTTTACTACTTTAAGTGTCTTCTACTTATAATATTATTATTTATAAGGTATCGGTTCTCTAACGGTTTTTTAACGGGTTAACACCGGTTGAGCCACTAAAGTGCGAGCCGTTCATATTACCGGATCATACTCTGGTTCGGTTCTGACAACATTGCCAAAAGGTCAATCTTTCGCCCTTGTTCAACTTGTAGGAGCGTCAGCTCAACCCGTAGCCCCCAAAATACACAATTTACTACTTACTAGGGTATGTCTGGATTTGTTTCGTACACAGCGGCGGAAACAGGGAGCTACGACCTCTCCTATGGACTCTGAATTTTTTTTTTTTGTGTGACAAACAGAGCGTAGGGGATGCTCTAATCCTTATGCATTAACCAAGCTGGGGGATTGACTCGCAATTAAGTCATAGTACAACCAATAATTAAGTCTCGCGCTAGGCGGCTCACAAAAATGCACACCCACAGAGAGATCGTGTCCCTTGGAAGCCAGGTAATCAGCCACGACATTACCCTCCCGATAGACATGTGAGACTTGAACTTTCCAATTAAGAGCAAGAAGCCTTCGAGCTTCCCTGACCATTACGAAGTGAGGATGATGCGCATCCGCCGAATTGAGAAGCTCAATAACTGTTCTAGAGTCGGTTTGCACTTCAACCTTTTTCACTCCTGCCTCCCAGGCGATCCGCAGGCAAAACACAATACCCTCAAGCTCGACATGGGTTATAGAACCACCTCCCAAGTTCACTGCAAAGTGAAAACGCCCTAATGAGCATTCCGTCTTCTGACCGCAACAACCCACCTGCAGCAGCACTTCCCTAAGATAATCGGACCAAACCATCAGTATTCAGCCCCCACCACCCGCTCAGTGGAGCTCGCCAGCTAATCATCTCCCTTTAGTGTTCAGGCGTGCCTCCCATGACAGATGCAACCTTCATGAACGCTTGTTTAGGGCTGGTAATCGGTGTTCCGGTTAACAGTATAACCGGAAACCGTACCGATAACCGGCGGTAATCGATTATACATTTAATCGGCGGTACCGGTTGGCGGCAGAGAAAATTCTCCATCGATATACCGCCTCTTAATCGGTAATTTACCGACGGGTAGCCGGTTAACCGGCATACCGGAACTCACCAGTTCCGAGGCAAAATCACAGCAAATTCCACCCCGTCCCTACCTTCACTCCCCCTACTAGCCTCACGGGTCTCCAATCTTCATCTTCTCTGTTCTAACCCATAATCCAATTCCTTTCTTCCCCATTCTTCTTCTATCATTGTCACATTCCAAAACCATAATTCAACCCACATTTGGTGGAGATAGAGGGGAAGTAAGCAAACAATAAACCAAAATTGAATACCCCAAAAGCCCAAACCAGAATTGCCTACATAGCACTACGCCACCACCATCTCTATCGATGAAAGAGAATCGGCCGGATTGAAGAACCGCCGCTTGAGGATTCGTCTTCGCTTCTCCGTTGCATGCATCTGAAAGTGACGGCGTTGGGTTGGATTGACCGGAGCAAGAAACCAGAACTTGGGTTTTCAGTTCAAAAATCATCGCCGACATTCTCAAAGCGGAGATCTAAAAATCAAAGAGGAGGTTCAATGACTGTTCGATTCCCTCTCTCCGTCGCTTGATCTCTGGCTTGATTTGTCCTCCGCTAGATCCCGTCAACATGTTCTTATTCAATTATTTGCCGACGAACATCATTCGTTTTCCTCGGCGTCACCGGAGAACTGTTTCAGCGGCGGTGGCAGCAACGACGGTTGAGAACTTGCGTCCTTCGGGATCGATAGGAAAGGAGGAAGAGGGAAGCGAGGTTGTTGTTGGTGGTGTTGGTAAAGATAGGGAAGAAGCAGAGGAAAACGATGAGGGAGAAGGAATTGTGGAAGACAACTGCCTTTTTTATATTTTCGGTATATTGGTGTTAACCGGTAAGCCGGTTAACCGGTTTGATTTCGGTAACGGTAGGGAAGGAGTTTGGGACCAAACGGTATACCGATAACCGGTTAACCGGTAACCGACCGATTACCAGCCCTACGCTTGTTCTGTGGTCTGATTTAGGGTCATGATACCCTTAACAATGGTAGTTGTCAGTGCTAACTTCTTCTCAAAGACATGCAAGTTGCGGTTTGATAAGCTTCATAAACATATATGTATTTTGTGCATAAATAATTGATCTTTATATAAAGATATATATATATATATATATATATATATATATGGATACGACTCGTATGCTCCTGACACATACGATGCACCAGACCTTTACACCATTGATCTAATCTAACGGTCATTATAAATAATAATAAAAAAATTACTACTTGCCCCCCTTAAATAATTATACATGCGATAGTGTCCTCCAACAATATTTGTCACTATATTTGATATTGCAATACGTAATTTCATTTAGTGGTATTTCAAGCCCCCAAAATTTGTATAATTAAAGAAAAACAACAGCCATCAAAATTTATTCCATTACCAAACGCCAGTTTGTTCTTCTTTAGTTTCTCTTTCATTATAGAATTCCAGATAAAAAGGTGCAGAAGGCAACAAGTTGTATGAACATTCAATCCATTGAATCCTTTTTTCTCCCTTTCACATTTTAACAACATCATCATCAGCAAACCAGAAAATCCTTTTCAATTCTAATCATCATCAAGCCGTAAATATTTTCCCCCCAATTTCACCATCATGGCATCATCAGAACCCTTCCCAACCTGTCGGCCCATCGTCGATCAACTTAATTGACGACGATCCACCGTCGTATCCGGAGTGAAAAAGTCGATATGGTTGTTTTGTTTTCTGAGCGAACTTGAAGGACCGAGGGAAATTTGTCGAATCGAGATCTCGTTCATGGGATAAGGAATTGGAAAGAGTTTATAATTGTTGGCAAAATCGATTGCGATGCGCTCGTCATCGACGGGGAGCCCAATAGCTTGCGGGTCGCCATCAAGCCAGCGTACCTCAGTCTCAAAACCACATGCATCGGAACTACCGGGCCCTGGGGCCTCAGCGCCTGGATAAACTCTTGCTCGAGCTCTCAATTCGGCGATTTTTTGTCACTCCATTCAGTCGCGAGCATAAAAAAGAACAGAAATCATCGAGTTCTTGCCCATAAGGGAAAGATGGAAGACGGAGGAAATCAACTTATCGGTGATGGGGCCACGGTAGGAGGGTTTTGATGATAGTGATTTGTGAGAATGGTTTAGGGTTTCGTTAAAATGACGATGACCTGGCTGTTCAAATGGCCACAAATGACTTCGGGAAGGAAAAAAAGGGGCACCAGACCTCCATAAGGGATTGTCCTTTAATTTGGAGAAAGATTATCTATAGGAAACTGGGTGAGAAAGAAATACATAACAAATTTAGATGAATAAAAATAATCAATCATACAAAATTTAGGTTGGTAAATCTATATACGGAAGAAACAAGGTAGTTTAAAACAAAAAGTAATAAGAAAAATTGTTAGAGGACTACATTCTACACATAACTTTTTAATGGATGTAGTAAGTAATTATTATTGACAATTAATAATTAATTTCATTAGAAATAATCATGCGCGTTAGATTAGATCAACGGTGTAGATAATCTGGCGCATGCTATGTGTCAGGAGCATACGAGTGTAACCCATATATATATATATATATATATATATATATATATATATATATCCCAGTGAGGACCTAGATTGCTCGTCTTGATTCTGATTTCTTGAATTATATGCATGAGGTGATTGTGTTGAATGAGTGGTTGAGTCGAGTCTATGTTGGTCAATGAACAGAAGGGAGACTCTTCCTTTAACCGATTTTGCTGCACTCGAATGTCATTGGTGGTGGTTGTCCAGGTTGTTGTTGTTGTTACACATGTGTTGGTGCCTAATAGCCAGTATGATTCACGTATTCTGTGCCTCTATGATATGTCCTCAAGGTTTGCATGGTTAAAACGTTTTGAGCTTACCGGGTGTCTGATTCGGTTTGCTTGGGGACAAGCAAATGGTTAAGTGTGGAGGAATTTGATTACACTATATTCAAACATGTTTTCACAACATTTCTTGGTCGTTTGAGGCTGGTTTATCTCTCTCGTGGCCTGTTTTACGCTTGTGCGTGTTAGTTTATGATGTTTCGGGCCTTAGTGCATCTATGGGCACAAAGGAGCGAGTTTCGGGACATTCTGGAGCGACTGGGTAGAGAGCACCTGGGAGTTACGGTCAGACCTTTCAAGTTACGGTCTGGTCGTAACTCCCCTCAAGGAGCCGTAACTGGCGAGTGGGAAATGAAAAGTTCCAGAAGGCTTTCTGGAGTTACGGGCAGACCTTCGAAGTTACGGTCTAGGTCGTAACTCAGCCTTTGCACCCGTAACTCCTGGTTAGCGACGACATCAGTTCTACAGACAATTTTGGAGTTACGATCTCCCTCTTCAAGTTATGATCGAGGTTGTAACTCCTCCAAAGAAGTCGTAACTCTTGGTTTACAAAGTCCAACAACTACGTCGTTTTCAGTAGAGTTACGGGCGGGCTAGCCAAGTTACGGCCGTAACACGCGGATTCTCAGCCTATAAAAGGGCTGCTCAGGAAAAAGGCAAAGTGGCCCGGATTTTTTTAGTTCTAAAAGCAGAAAAAGAACCCTAGAGAGAGTGACAAAGAGAAACCCTTGGGCAAGGATTGGAGTGATCTGAAGTCTTCGAAGCTCGATTCCTCAACCTCGGAGTACCGATTAGCCGCTAGGAGCAGATTCCCATTGTCTGTTTGACGATATCTTCTCCGAGCATGACGTTCCCACGCCTCTCCATGGAGTAATTTTTCATTTCATCTGGGTATGAAGAACCCTAGTTGTGTATGTTAGGAATGATTATATGAACCCCATTTGCGAATGATTGATTTGATAAAC